ACAAAACTTTGAAGGTTTGCTAATTCGCCAAGTGGAGATTTGTTGGAAAAATGGCTCATTTAGCAAATTACATGGGGTAGAAGTGATAATGGAAAAAGGTTTAGGGACTTATATATAATATGCCAAATGTTAGTTTGTCCCACATTGCTTGGGAATGAAAAATGAGAAACTTTTGGGGCCTATATATAAGGACTTAAATCATTGTTATTTGTATCTCAAGTTGCAATTCCATTATACTTATTTTGTTTAGGGTTCTTTCTTTAAGGACCCTTTAGTTTGCAAGTTTTGTTGTATCTCCACTCTGTTTTGGGTATTTGTTGTATTGCCCAAAAGTTTGTAATGTTTTGGAGATAGTGGAGTTTTCTTTTGTAGCGCCCGAGGACGTAAGTTTCAATACCGAACCTCGTTAATTCCTGGTATTCTTTATTTTTGCATTTAATTTTGGCGATTTATTTATGTTTAACTACTTGTTATTATCATATTCAATAGCTAGCATTAGAGTTTATGTTTCCGTTGCATAACAACAACTTCTAGTGCTGGTACCGGGGATATACCAAAGACTAAAGAGCAGTTAAAAAAGTTAATCCTTGACCGAGATTCGTCACTTTTTCTCATGAGGGACGTTGCCTTAGTCCCTCGCAATATAAGTCGGCTATGGAAGATTTACAGCAGTGTAGATGTCAAGAAGCAATTTTAGTGCCATGTCAGGATTGACGTTTCTAAATTGACTGGAGAAACAGAACTTCCCACCAAAATGATGGAAAGTTTTATCGGAGCAAATGAGGAATGGTGGTTGGCTCAAACATCAATATGACAAAAGCTTCACAATTTCTTAATTTGGAAGAGATATCTAGTGGTTTTGTTCAATCCTAAGACACCTAATATTTGGAAATCTTGTCAGGTTTGTTTTACCAAATTCATTAAATGGTAGTCGGGTGATTCTCACTTTTTCTGAAGCTGATAACAGAAAGCTAGGGAGTCCTCCTGTTCCAAATGCAACGTCCTGTGGGAATTTATCTGCAATGCAGCAAGAGTCAACAGTCCAAAGCCAAGATTTCAGTGATGATATCACTGGACCAGAAGTTTCAGATGAAGAAGATATTGTTGGTTTCTGTTATGAAGTAACAGATTTAAGAACATTACTTGCTACTGGTGACAAGCACAGCCAAGATTTTATTGATGGTACTGAGATCACTGGACCAGAAGTTTCAGTTAAAGACGAAATTGTTGGTTGCTCTTCTGAAGTTTCGGATTTAAGAATATCGGTTCCTACTGGTGACAAGCAAAGCCAATATTTCACTGATGGTATTGAGACCACAGTACCAGAAGTTTCAGATGAAGAGGATGTTGTTGGTTTCTATTCTGAACGTTCGCATTTAAGAACATTAATTCTTACTGGTGACAAGCCTCTGATGTCAGTGGTGGGTGTGGCAGGCTCTGGCAAGACAACTCTAGTGAAAAATGTTTACAACCATTAGGAAATAAAGAAAAAGTTCTTGGGTTTCTGTTTCTAAATTGTTTAAAGAGAAAAATGTCTTAGTTAAGATATTGGAGCAGGTTACGCAGATTGAGGATGAAGAGAAATTGGCACTTGCACATTGCAGGAAAAGCTTGCTAATTTACTGAATACCCAAACGTATCTGATCGTCTTGGATGATGTTCATACATCTGATATTTGGGAGAAACTCAAAGTCGTCTTTCTAACCGCATCAAATGGTAGCATGGTGATCCTAATTTTCCACGACCCCAATGTAACTGCCGTGACCCAAATATAGCCTCCCCTATCAGTCCATCGATTCATCTTCTCCCACAAAGCCCACTAACTGACGAAGAGAGTTGGAGCTTTTTCTTAAAGAAGGTCAGCAGAGACGAAAGAAGGAAAGTATTTTCTCAGGAAGAGCTCTAGAAGAAAATCTTGCGAAATGTGGTGGTCTACCTCTTTCAATATGTGTGGTGGCTGGTTTGTTGTCTACTAGAAAATACAACGCTGCTTCATGGTTAAGGGTGATTGAGGATCTAGAGCAAAAGAAAAAAGAAGAAGAAGGCACGGTGGTTAATGATGATATCCAGCTAACGGAAGAAGAGGCAGCTGGAATTAGTGAGCATACTCTTGGTGTTAGTGATCACTTGAACGCGTAAAAATTGTACAATCCTATCACCAATAAAATTGTCATTAGCCGTGATGTTGTATTTGATGAAGATAGAACCTGGTCGGCAAAACTCCAATTTTGGCCATTTGTTTCAGAATAAAAGTTTGATATACTTCCAGTATCATTAAGAGTACGATTTGTAGGAAGAGTGCAGATCACGTTGCAGCAACCAGCAACATTTTGATTACGATTGCAAGTACAAAAAGACTGACAGTAGTATTTAAATTATTCTGACATTAGTACAATTGTGTCCAGCAATTAGTCTGGCTATTAGTATAAGGTGGGGTTCTTATATATATCTTCAGCAGTGTTTATTATTTGCAAAATAAAGCTGAAATGCTCAGAAGCATCAGAGATTTTCTTGGTGTTACATTTGACGTTAGACCTGATCCATCAACAGGGAAAGTTAGATGTGTGGGATGCGTATATGAAAACCTAGCTAGAAAGGTTTCATGATTATTTCACATAGCAGAAGATGTCGTTGATTCTATAGAGCAGATGGTATGCTTCTTGCTGTGGAAAGTTATTTCCAGTGGCTCTAGATGCTTCAATTGGTGAGATTACTATCGAATTTTGTTTCGATAAAATTGTACTATAGAATCATGCTCTGAGATAAATAACTTAACCAAATTCTTTTGTGGGCTGTCTTTTTCACAAGCTTGAATGGAACTTACGAAATATAAATAAGTGAAAAGATTATATTGATGTAATTTACAACTCTGTTTCTTCCACCTGAGGTAATTTACAGCTTTGTTTCTTCCACCTGAGATATCTGAAAAGAGTGGTGCTATACATTTTAATAGTTTCATCTGAAAATTGATTTTTATGGGACAGGTACGCATTTGATACCCAACCAATTGGCAAAGAGGCAACCGCAGTTCCAATACAGGGTCCCATTGGCCCTAGTTCAACCTCTCTTCATCTCCAAACCTCTTCAGATATTTTAGAATCACTATTTGATGAACAATGGTAATCCCAAAGATCCCTGAATTGATTGCTTATTAATTTGTATAAGTTGATTGTTGAGTTTGCTCATTCATTGTTTTGATGAAATCAGTTTTGTTAATAACCCTATTTTTTACTACACCTGTCTTAAAATGGGATAGGATTGATATAAATGCTCTTAGGTCAGTTTGGTCTTGACAACTAAGATTATTTTGTTTTTTAGCTCTTGCTAAATTTTGATTGATGGAAATGCTTGTTTTACAGAGAAAAATAATGGTTGAAGCTCAAAAATATGCCTAGCTCGTATATATTTAGCCCCTCGTTCTCATGAGGAGAGGTGTCCATTTATACTTGTGAATTCAATGTAATGAGTGTTTTTGCAAATTGTTTTGATATGTTGAGACCATTCCTTAATTCATATCTTAAAACGGGATATGATTGATATAAATGCTCTTAGGTCGATTTGGTCTTGAAAGCTAAGGTTATTTTATCCTTTAGCTCTTGCTAAACTTTGATTGATGAAACTGACAGCTCATTTTGATTGGTGGTGCTGATATCAGTGCAATTTTACCCATATATAATATATATGTAAAAGAAAAGTTATGAAATAGAACTAAAACAAAATGTACTATTTCATGAACCATGTGTTGGTCCTATGTAATGCTTTTTAATTTAAAGCATCAATTTTTTTTCAAGAATATATATTTTTCTTCCTAACTTTCTTTTCTATGTTCCCTACTACGTACTCAATTCAGTCACTTTTGAAACAACAACTAAAAATTTAATAAAAGATATTTGACCCTAGCTAATCTATTATTATTAGAACTCGGGTCTAATTTACTATTATCATACCTAAAATTAAAGGTTTTGCCACCTTGGCTATTCCATGAAATTATAGGGGGATAATCTTGTTGTTGATTGCCCTGAGTATAACAAAATGAACATTTGGAATTACACCACATTAACCAACAAATGATTATGAGCAGCCAATTCGTCTCTTTATTTTTTCATCATTACAATAAATAAAAATGAGTAGTGTGCTAAGTATATTGTCGATAAATATTACCAAATTATTTTCTTACCGTTTATTTAAACACTTAAAACTTAATTATAGAGGGATTTCTAACATTTTATAAACCTCAAAAGGATTTTGTTATTATACCATACCTCAGGGGGATTATTGTCATTCACTCAAATATAAACCAAAAGTGATTCATAAATTGTAATAGTATTTGTAGTTGTATTCTAATCTTTCAATTGTGCTTGCTGCTTGCTATTGGAAACCTCAAACAAAAATGCTTCTTGTTTGTTTAGTACGAGATAGCTCAACACTAACTAAGAAAATTGAGAGAAGATTGTTCAAAGAGAATGGTACTATTGATTTGTCAATTTTGGCTTGTACAAAAAGGCAAGGGGTCATTCCTTTTTATAATGCTTATGGTTTTTATAATGCTCATGGGAGCTTTTCATCTATCACCTTCCGCAACAAATATTTATCTAACATCGCCTTGATAAATGAGCCATTTTTATAAGTTTAATTTAGATACAGGACGTAATATTTGGGCTAAATACTTGGGCTAATATATATGGACTAGAAAGAAGATGTTAGGCTAGTAATATATGTGGGTCTAAGTCATTAACCCGAAAAGACTTGAGCCCAAAGAAGTTTATCATTCAATCAGTTGCCTTGTCACAAATAACATCACAGAAATAGGTAGCAACGCAAGACTCCAATCAGTTGGACAAGCTGAAAGTGAAAACCAAAAACCCAATGCGCTTATTTTCTTGCATACAACCATTGGTTTATTGGCTATTGTATGGGCAGTTATTAAATTTGCTTGTACCATGAAAGTTATACTTACAATCTGATCAAAAATCTCATTACTGAACTTTATAATCACGAAACAACTTTACTAGTTAATAAATGATACAAGTAAAATATATTGCAGAAATAACAAAAATATACTCAGAGAATGAAATACATGATAAAAAAAACTATTCCCTCTGTTTAACACTTCTTAGAAATCAGAGGGTCAACATCTAAAGTGACACTGTTTAAAAATGATCCAGTACTACTCAAAGATGAACCAGTTGCGTAGGGACATGTTATCTCATTATCAACAAAATCAATCTCATCATAGTTTTGTTGCAAGACTGAAGCTCCATTCGATGCTCTAATATTCCCCACTAATTCAAATGCTACTTCTCTCATTGTAGGTCTCTTCTTTCCATTTAAATTCAAACATCTTCTTGTGACATCTGCAACACTCATAATCTCTTCTTTTTCCCCTTCCTTCAAAACTCGAGCATCAAGGATTTTGAATAGACTATTCTCTTCCATTGCTCGAAGAAAATATGTGACTAAACTTCTATCTTCTTCAAAGTCATTGGTTGAACGGATCGGCTTTTGTCCTGTTAAAAGTTCAGCAAGAACTACTCCAAAACTGTAAACATCACTTTTATCAGTAAACTGACTTGATTGAAAATACTCTGGATCTACATATCCAAAAGTCCCTTGTACTTGAGTGGTCAAATGAGTTTGATCAATTGTAACAGATCTTGAAGTCCCAAAATCTGATACTTTTGCTCGATATTTATCATCCAAAAGTATGTTTGTTGACTTGATATCTCGATGATATATTGGTATAGAAGCAGCTGAATGTAGATAGGATAGAGCTTCTGCAACTTCTATGGCTATGCGTCTGCGTAGCTCCCATGTGATTGGAAACTCTTCATTGTGGTCATGTATATATTGAAAGAGAGTTCCATTAGGAATGAATTCATACACCAAAATAGGAACTTCTGTCTCTAAGCAACATCCTAGTAATTGAACCACATTTCTATGATTTATTTGAGATATAATCACCACTTCATTAATGAATTCCTCAACTTTACTTTCATCCACTACTTTGGACTTTTTAATAGCTACGATTTTTCCATCTGCCAACATTCCCTTGTACACTGTCCCTTGGCCTCCTTGACCCAAGATTCGATTTGCATTGTAGTTGTCAGTGGCCTTAACCAATTCCTTTGAAGTAAACAATCTTGTTTTCTCAATGTTACCTTCATTGGAAGATAGTTGTTGTTGTAGTAATAAACCGCCGTTTCTTTTAAAGAATTTCTGCTTCAACTTGATTGCTTTTCTTCTTTTTATCAACTTGTACAACCACCATATTCCAATGACGAGTAACAATGTACCAAGCCCAGCACAACATCCTGCATAACTTAAGGATATATAAGTATATAGTACCAAGTTTTTCATTGCACATGCATGAAACTATTTAAAAGAAAAGATAATTGAATATAGAGTTAACGGCGATAACTCCTTTAAGGTTTATGAAATATAAAAAACTCCACTGTTAAGTTTTAGGTGTTAAAATAAACAGTCAGAGTAGAATTAAATAAATATTCATTAACTCATAATAATATAATTCCTAACGATTTCGTTAATGAAATTTTTTTGTTATTACAAAAATCTAATGCAAAGAATTTCTGTGTATATTATTATAGTAATTTAATTTTGTACTATAGCTTTGTTTTTCATTGTTATTATTTTTTAAGGGTTAATAACAATACTCCCCTTAAGGTATGATTAGCTATAAAATATCCCCCTCTGATAGAAATAATAGAAATCCTTTTACCATTATTTTTTTTTTTTTTTTTTTTTTTTTGTGTGTGTGTGTGTGTGTTAAAATAAGCAGTAAAGGGGGTAATCAGGTAAATATTCATTAACAATTATGTTATAAATTCTAACAATATACTAACAGCTCGCTAACAATAGAACGATTTTTGTTATTTCTAAAATATCATAGAGACCTTTGTTATTTGATTAAACTCAGGGGTCAAGAAAAGCCACTTATTTTTATAACAAAAGATAAAAGATTTAAATATATAATGAAAACAAAAGGGACACAATAGGCGTATGCCGCGTACCTATGATAGTAAATAATTTGACCCGGGATTTCTTTATCCATATGTCAGTAAAGCTTCTTGATGAATAGCATCTAGTGTCTTGACTGTCATAAGAATAAGATGTATAGCCAGCAGGACATTTTGCTGAGCAATTGTAGCCGCTCTTAGTATTACAAATCAAGTCACCTGCAATACAAACAGAAAACAATTATATCAAATTGTAGCATGCCACCAATCTTCCCCTACTGCAATTTTCCGTAGTTCCTTAGGGTTTGAATTAATAGATATATGTACCTGTACATCCTTGGAATCTGTCGGACATTTGATTATCGCAAACACAAATATGGTTTGAGCTTAACTGTATTATGCAGTAATCATCTGCATTACAACTTGTATTGTGTGAACTATACAGTTCCACACATGTCCCTTTATATATTCCCCATTCCAGCCTAGCAGGAGTTGGTTCTTTACCTCTCAAAACAGATGGATTTGTTAGGTAGTTTGACTGGAGCCATTCTTGGTCCACCATGAAGGCAAAACTGCAATTCTGGCCAATTCTTTCAGAATAAAAGTTTGATATACTTGCAGTATTATTAAATGTACGATTTGTAGGAAGGGTGCAGATCACGTCACAGCAACCAGCAACATTTTGATTAGGATCGCAAGTACAAAAAGACTGACATGCAGTAGTATTCAAATTATTCTGGTTGCCACTCCCATAGCTGTCACAACCAACCGAAATGAAGCTATTTTTCATAGTTGAAAAAGAAAAGGGGCTTCCTGACAGATCAATGCCTCTTGTCACAGTACTATTCAAAGAAACTTCAGGAAACTTGACGCCAATCGTATAGCTTGGATAATAAAAACCTTCCGATAGTTCGAGACTGATGCTACTTAAATAAGGTTTTCCATTGTCGCAAGTTACTTCGAACCCCTTATCCATGTAGCAGCCATCTCCGATTCCAAAGGGATACTTTATGCTGACGTTACCACAAAACCGTGGACATAATGTTGAAGCTTTGATTGGTAAGAGTAAGAAACTGATCTGCAACAACACCAGAACCAGATGATGAACATCCATTGTTTGCTATCTGATATTTTTCTTTGGGTATTAAGCAGTATATAATAAAGTACCATCGGCCAGCACATGCAGTTACCTGGAAAGTGTATCGGCCACTTTTCATCAATCCCATTTCTCTTCAAAAGAAAAAAGAACTGATCAATAATTAAATAAGAACTTGAAAGGGACAGAACCATTTTCGTTACACTAGCCTAGTTGAAGAAGAGTTCAAATAAAAATTGCTGGAAGATTCTTGTTCACAAATTAAAAATCAAACAAGGGAAAAAGTCAGTTTATTATAATAAGTCTATAATTGAAAAAATATTTTAATTTGATTTTAAGGACTCCAAGGCTATACCTTTGGTCCACACTCCACACACTCATTTTGACCAGTTTGTTTTCTTTGGTCCACACACTAATTTTTCAGGGAAAAGTAAGCAAGAAATTTTATATCTTTAAAAAATCAAAAGTTGTTGTGAGACAATTCACAAATCCCTATACAAAATCACAATGACTTGAAAAGTCTTTGGTGTAGGTGCTAATTATTCTACGTTGAATGAATTTTCCGTTTATTGTAGTAAAAAATGCATATCACTCCCAAGAAACACTAAATTGATTAACTAATTGTACTGCTTGCTGACCTTGACATTATAACAAACATATGAAAGACTTATACTGTTACTCCTAACATCCATACCAGAAATTTATACTATTTGTCTGTAGAAATTTATGTTAGGGTAAACAAATTATATTGTACTTAACAGTTATATATATATATATGAGAGGGAAGTATTAAAAAAAAAAAATGATGGGTCTAACAGCAGCCATGAGTTGAAGCAGCAACTAATTGAAACTGCTTGCTGAGCTTGACATTATAACAAACATATGAAAGACTTATAATGTTACTACTAACATCAATACCTTACACATACTCTTTCTCCAGCAAGTGACTTTGCTTATTTAGTAGCTATTCCTGCTTTAACTTGACCATCAGCCACTTCAGCTATCTGTAACTCTTAAAAAAAAAAATCCTTTTACTCTTCAATGCTCAAGAATAAATAAAATTTGGAAAATTAAAACAACTTACATAGAACTCTTTCTGTATTAATTTCACGTTACAATAACTAGTAAAGGACTTCTGTAGTCAATAATTAGTTAATGATCAAAATTTCTAGAGTTTAAACATTTCCAATTTTTTCTCCACTCTCATTGAATTCCCTTTCAAGAGTAAAAACAAACAAGTGCTAGGCTACAAAAAGGTTGAAAGGGCCAAACCATTTTTGTCACAATAGATTAGTTGAAGAAGAGTCTACGGCATACTAAATGAAAATTCCTGTTCAACTTCACTAAAATATAAGAATAGTTGCGTGTACTCCTTTGCTTGGAAGCTCACATCTCTTTTGCTCCTTTGCTGGAAAAGGATTTGAAGAAAATAAATATTGCCCTTGTTCTAACGATGCCGTAGGAGATATAAATGCTTGCTTTTTTTTATTTTTTCTTCTTTTAATTAATTCCCTTGACCTATCAATAGTATTTCTATGTAATTAATGAATGAATTATGATCATCTTCTTATCTCTCTTGAGCTTTTTTAAAAATTTCATGATACCCGCATTAATAATAATATATGGTTATGATTTTTTTTAATATATTTTTTATTAACCATTAACAATGACAGATATAGGAAATGAGTTACACTTAAAAAATAAAACAAGATTGAAAATTTGGACTTACCTTTCTAGTATTTTATATTTTATATAAAAAGGGCAATTAAGTCTTTATGTTTTTATGCCAGGTTTTCAAGGGTAAATATGGGATTACATTGGTATATCATTGTTAGGGTCAAAAGTTATAATGGCTGACTAAGGTTAGGGTTTTTCTCCTTTTTTTTTTTTTTGGTTATTTATAACATCATAGGGAGATTTTTGTAATTAGGTTTTATCTTAGGGGACAGAAAAACCCAAAAATTAAATTAAAATTAAAAATATTAGAAAAAATTACAAAGATTGCACACTGCACTTTCCCCAGCCAAACCCCACCCAGCAGCCCCAACCTCGAGGGTGATTTGTATGATAACCTTTTTCTTTTTTTTTTTTCAATTTTTTTCCTCAAAATTCTTTAATAAAAAAAAACAACATATTATCCTCGTGAAAAAGGACAGTGTTCGTTGAGAGTTTGGTTAGAAAGATCAGTTTAAATAAAATTAGACTAGCCCTAAGTTAGAATTGTTTTTGCGTATCAGAATTAAACATGGAACTCTGATTTTCAAGATATTTAATTAGGGAATAAATAAAACTTATGTCAAAGGAATATTTAAATAAACACGTATAATACTAATATATATATATATATTTTTTTTTTATACTTACAGAATTTATCAGATTTTTAAATTACTCTATTTCTTTATTTGACTATACCTATATATAAATAGCAATGAGAAAAAAACTTATGAAGAAAATATTAATGGGGAAGAAGATATACATTTAAGTCTTTGTTAGAGTTTTATTTTTATATTTTTTATTATATTAGAAAAATTAGTTTAATAAAAATCTGATTTAACATTTAATTAGAAATAGCCCTAAGTTAGAATTTCTTTTTGCATAAGGAAAATTAACATAGAAAATTGAGTTTAAGAATAGATGACAAATATTTAATAGAGAATAAATAAAACTTATTTCCAAGGAATATTCAACAAAATAAAATTGAATTAGATTAATAATTATTAATGTGATGTTCTTAATATATAAAAGGTTAGTTCACTATAAGTTAGCTTTTAAATTTATATTGAAATTAAAAAATAATACCCATTACAAATCCAAATTAAATAAGCAAATAACAAATTAGAATTAAAGAAACGCATTATACATTACAAATTGAAATATATAAACACATTACACATTAGAAAGTCAAAGTTAAATAAATGTGTTGAATTTGTAGAGTGTAATTTGTTTATTAGAGTATTGTTTGTATAAGTAATTTTCAAATTTTAATGGGGTATTTTTGTTATTTTAATACAAATTTTAAGATAAATAAAAATCAATTAACATTTTTATTAAGTCAAAGTACAAAAAGAAAAAGAGTCGTATATGAAATGGGAAAGACCCAAATTATTGTTCTTAAATGTTAATAGACTCAAGCCACAATTATCTCTGCTAACCTTAGTTGCCTTTTGGATAAAAATGCCAATATATTTTAACTTTCGAGTTTAAAATGTTACTTGTTTGAACCTATAAACAAGCGTGGTCTTGCCGTTCTTCCATGGCTTTTCTACCAACTTCCTGCACAAGCGTGGTCTTGCCGAGACCACCCATCCCATAAACACCGATCATGTAGACATCCTCATCATTTAAGGCATCCCATACATTCTTCACAGTGGAGTTTCTTGATTCGAAAGCCAAATAATCTTTGTTAGATCTGAGCCATATCTCTGGTGGATTAGCGGGATAAGAAACTTCATTGAATTCCTTATCTAGAAGTTGACTGATATCATCCTGCTTTAATTTGAATGCTTTCTTGCTATGTTTGTAACGGGTGATCAAGTTGGGGCACAATCCCTTGAAACATCGAGGGTTGTTTCCTTTCTCTTGAATCAACTTCTCTGCTTCAGTAATGGTCTTCCCTGCTTCCTTCTGCCACTTCTCCAGAGTCTTTTCAATCTCTTCCACGTTGTTTATAGCAGCATCAACCTTACGCTGCACTTTGACTCTTGCATCCTTCAGCTTATCAACTTCTTTTTCGCGATTTATGAAGTTGGTGTTGTAATTCCACAAGTACTTAAATGGACGCCCAATCGGAGCAGCCAAGCACTTGACAACATCCAGAACAAAACTCGCGATTTCGACCATTTTCTACACTTTTTCCTTTCTACTTCGCTGGTAGATTTGAAAAAAATAATGAGCGAAAGAAAGTAAATGATATTAAAACAGAGTTAAAACCAGGACAACTAGGGTGCAAACTTTCAAATTTGAAAAACACACAAAAACAAGGTAAGAAAAATACAGAAATAACTGCAAGACAACAAAAGAAGAAAATGCTGAAAAGAAGAGGAGTGCGGACCAACACTGAAAATGCTGAAATAATTTAAAAAAAAAAAAAAAGAAATAAGGAAAAGGGAAAAAATAGAAGAAAATAAAACAGAGAAAGTAACAGTGCAACTGCAAACTGAAGAAAATAAAGATCTTATTGTTCTTTTTTCTAAACGAAAAAAATAAGGGAACGGGAGATGAGTGAAAAATCAAGCGATCTGGTTTCAGAGTAACAGAAAGGGGGGAGAGAGGTTTATGAGTTAAAAGTATTTTTTTAGTGGTTTAAGTGAAACAGGAGAGGAGAGGGATGAAGAGATGGCTGTAAAAATCAGAAGAACAATAAGGATGATGACAGCCAGACGATTCTTGATGGAGTATTATAAGATTCGATTCTTTATTATTTTACAAGTTCTTAACTTAAATATCAATCATTATATATTTCCGAGTAGAGGTAGAAAATGTATTCACAGTGAATAGATATGAGAAGTAAAGAGAACCATTTTTTTTTTTTCAGTTTACTAGTTTAACAGTCAAATTTTAATTGTATTATTTAACAATATATCCCTTATTTAAATAAACAAATGATTTTATAAGTTGAATGGTATTGGTATCCCTTAGGTATTTCAATCATCAGCCATTAATTTTAAACTCTTATTATAAGCCTAAGTAAGTTTACTTTTATTGTTTCTTTATTAAATTACAATCCATCTTCAAACTTTTTCTAATGCTAATGTTTTTTAATCGATATAAATTCTCATTAATTAACTGTTATTCTTTATTTTTATTCTTTTTATTATTATTAGGCCGAAGGGCTTATACCTACCCAAGATTTGGCGAAACGAGATTGGTACTCAAAAAGTTTTAAAACGACAAACAAGTACCTTCTGTTAATGAAAAGACTAGAATGTCATTTGAGAAATATTATTCTATATTTTAATTACTTTTAGACCCCTTAAGTTTATTAATTCCACAAATACCCCTAGAAAAAAGTTTAAAAATTAACAAAAACACCCCCACCCATCCATACTTATCAGATTCCCGCGGCCACCACCGGTGATAGCTAGAATCTGTCACAATGGTCTACGCCACCATCGTAAATGGCCAGTAATTCACTGATCTGGCCTTTCCGGCCAGATCTACAGTGGATCTGGCTGGAAAAGGCCAAATCTGACGTGAAAATGCCAAATCTGGCTAGAAAGTGATGGCTAAAGAAATGGCCGTCGTTGACTATCAACAACGGCCACATCTTTGGCCATCGCTGGAGTGTTGCGGCCGTCGATGGCCAGATCTGGCCTTTTTCGGTTTGAAATTTCATAGCTTTGAGGAAGTTAATTGATTGAGAATAATTTTAAAAGATTAGAAGAAGATAAGATTAATTCTTTGAAGATGATGTGCATATAACTTTATTTAATGAATTTTATTTATTATGGTTTTTTTTTCTTTTTTTTTTTAATGGGTTCAAACAACAAATGAAAACCAGTTAATTAAAATCAGGCGCCATCAGGTGGATAAGTCATGCTCGCCTGTCTGGATCGTGCTGGAGCCCAAGTACAACCAATAATATGGGGCCTCACAAGGCTTGGTCCTTGATTAAAAGCCTTCAGTCTCGTTTCAGGAAATCAGAAAACTGGCATCCACATTCCCACAAGCTGTGAAGCTGTGTTTAATTCAACAAATTTCTACTACAACACACCATCATACCAGCCAGATGGCATTCCATAATACTAATTCAATTATTTAGAGGTTCAATGATGAGAATTATGTGGTTTTTGCCTAAGAGAATCTAAGGTCAAGTCCAACAAAATTATGCTACTTCTAAATTCTAATCATAATTTGCCTGCCTGTACTTGAGGGTTGAAAACGCAGGCTTCTTTGGAATAATGTATTGGTATATTGTAGTATTACTTAGTAATGCATCCTTTAACATGACTTTGTTTAAAATTTTTTATCATACTTCACGCTGCACAACTGTTAGATGACTCTTT